GAGTACCAGTCTTAAACAAAAGAAGCTCAGGGACAGAGCCCAGGCCCAAAGTTCAAGGCCCAGGATTGGCAAAAGAAAAGAAAATTATGAACTGTTCTTACTAATAAGCATAAATATAAAAATGCTAAATAAAACAATAGCAAATTAATTCAGCAATGTATAAAAACAAAACATATAAAACATTGTGTAAACATGTGTGAGTAAATTACACCAAAGAAAGCAACGAAAAATGCAAGGTCTTTGGTGGGGTCAAGGATGCTTGTCAAGCAAATTTAACTTATCAACACAGACTGAAGTTCTCATGTCAGTGAGGGCTGGAAAGAACTTTCCTAACATACTGTGTTTAGCTGCACTCAAAATCAGGATGCTGACATCTCAGAAACATAGAAATCGAATTCTTGCCATCTTTTCTCCTGTTCAGTGTTGGACTTCAGACTCCAGCCATGGGGGTAGGAGAGTAAAAGTCATACACAAATAAAATCGAGTTCCGTTTGGGGTGAGGGAAGGGGAAACGAAGCTGGGTTTGAACTCGGGTCTTTGTTCTTGCTAAGCAAGCGCTGTACCATTTGAACCATGCCTCAAACACTTTTTGCTTTAGATTATTTTTCAGACAGTATCAGACTCAGCCTGCAGCATTCCTACCTCTGAGTCCTCTACAGCTGAGATTCCAGATAATATTCCATGTCCAGCTTATTGACTGAGATGGGGATTCCATGAACTTTTCATTAAAGCTGGCCCTGAATCGTTATTTTCCTGGTCTCAGCCTCTGAGCAGTGGGAATTAGAAGCATAGTCATCACACCTGACAACTGCCTTTAAAATGTCAAATGCCAGTAACATTATGATTTATAAGAACAAGAGCAAAAATTTTTATAAAGAGCCACATATAAATAACCAATTAAGATGCAATCAAAGAAATATTCCATTCCCAAGAGAAAGGGGAAAAAATAAGGTACCTAGGAATAACTCTAGTAAAATATGGATAAGAGTTTCAATGGACAACTTTTATAAAATATTATTGAAAAATATTATAAAATACCTACTCTTCAAACTAATCTATCTATCTACCTATATTTACCATCAAAATGCCAGGATAATTTCTCATGGAGCATGAGGAAACATTTTTATTATAATTTACAAAAGATAATAGCAGCTATAATAACTAAGACAAAATGGCATCAGTGCATCAATAGTGGAGCCCTTAGAACACAGTCAGATGGGACAGGAAGCTAGTTATCTAACAGAAGCAGCATTGAAATCTGAGAGGAAAAAACCAAATACTCAGACCCATACCCTGACAACTTAGACTCCAGTCTCCCTTCATTAAAAAACCCAATCCTAGGGGCTGGGAAGGTGGCTCAGTGGTAGAGCGCTTGCCTTGCATGCCTGAGGCCCTGGGTTCGATTCCTCAGCACCACATAAGCAAAAAGAAAAAAGCCGGAAGTGGTGCTGTGGCTCAAGAGCTAGAGCTCTAGCCTTGAGCTGAAGAGCTGAGGGACAGTGCCCAGGCCCAGAGTTCAGGCCCCACGACCAGACCCAAAAAAAAAAAAACAAAACAAAACAATCCTTGAGGAAATTCAGATAATCCAAGATATTAAAATGAGCAAAAGCTATAAACAGGAAATCTACACAAACAAATGCAGATGGATGACAAAAACATAAGAAGCTGTCAAATTCACTACTAAGGAAATGCAAATAAATGAGACTTCAACAGTACTGTGAGTTCAAAAACCAAGTAGATTCCATAGCACTACAGCCCTTTTGTTCAGACCAGAGGGAAAAAAACAACAGAAGTGAACCATTCCTTAAAAATTCCAAACAATAACAGGAGACTGGTTCCCTTCCACCAGTTTCTAATGATTGACACTGCTTTCATTAAACAAAAATATTCACCAGCCTGACAAAAAATTTTAAGAATAATAACCTAGGAATACTAATAAGAATATGGGGAAAAATAATCGCCTTCAACAACTGTTAAAAAAATGTAAAAGATTAGAGCTTTTTGAAAATATATATGACATATTGTAATACAGAGCCACTTTTGGTTTTCTTGTGGTTTACTGGAGATAATAGTCTCATGGACTTTCCTGTCCAGGTTGGCTTTGAATCGCGATCCTCAGATCTCAGCCTCCTGAGCAGGGAGGATTACAGGCATGAGACACCTCATATAAATATGTTTATACTTAAAATATGATTTTTATATGCTTTTTAATCAATACAGTGATCAGAGTCAGGAAATCAATATCATTACAATGCTCTGATTTAAGGATTTGGGGCAAATTTTGCTAGCAACTTTCTTTTCCAATCCAAGAGAGAAGCTCTGGTACACATGTAATATTTAGCTATGTCTATGTAATTTCCTTCAATCATATAATTTTTCAGTTTTCATTCACGATCAACTTCTCAGGGTCCTATGCAATTGATTTTGTGGGATGTCTTTCATTATGAGATTATTGATTTTTTCCTTAGGAATATATTTAGGTTATAGCCTTTGATTGATCTATCTGTTTATTTGTCTCTCTGTCTGTCTTAATGAAGACTGATATCAAGCTTCTTATTTTATTGCATTTCTTACATTGTATCATTATCATTATAGAAAGTAAATCTGTTGAAGATTTCTGTAAATATTTCAGAAACTTTTCTTGTAGGCAATGACTGCTTAAAAATTCCAAAAATGAAAAAAAAAAAAAAAATCCAAAAATGCGTTTATGTATGTTTGCAGATCATTAACCTTTATCAATTGGCAGGTTTTTTTTTTTTTAAGCATCAGGAGATACTGCCAATTCAAAATTAGGAACAAAACTTGCAACCCAAAAATTATAATGTAAGCTTGAAAGAAAAATTGGCTTTTGATTTCTAAAATTCCATTTTGCTCTATTTCACAAAAGGAAGCATACCTTGTTGGTTGGTAATTACTTAGAAAAGGATACTTGGTTGAATAATTAGATACAGCATGTGGATAGTCTTTTTTTTCTAACCTTGATTTTTATACATTTGTTCTCAAGGCAAATTGCATCTGGTGAACGTAAGAATAGTATTGAAAAGACAATTGTTCTTTTCAGCAAGTGAAAATTAGAGAAATTTTCTGTACTTATTTCCTTCTCTCTTTGCAGAATGCACAAAATTACAAAGAAAGGGGGAGAGGGAAGATTGCCTCCCATCCCTGTTCTTGAGAGTCAAAGCCTGTGTGTTTGTACTGTAATTGTCAATTTGACTAAAAGCTTGAACTGTGATTTGGAATTCCATCTGTGGTAATACAATAGAGGATCACTGTTGATAAGAGATGTTTAATTTCATATTTTGTCACTTTAATATAAGCAATGACCTATACATTTTTAAAAGGTGGTTTTGGATTATAAACACTGCAGGGGAAACAGAAAGAAAAAAAAAAGATTGATTTAGGCTTCTTCTGCTCCCAAGTTAAATGGCTTAGACTGTTCTGGAAAGGTCATGTTTAAGGAGAGAAAGAAAGCTTTGCTTTCTTTTCACCTATTAAAAATGTTATGGAAATTCCTATATTCTATGCTAATAGTCATTGATGCATTTTGTGTGCTGCTGTGGTGAGAATTTGAATTCAGTGGATTTCAGCCACTCTGATATTTTGTACTCTTACAAGAAATGTACATTTCAAAGTCAGTAAAAATTATAACTGGGGCTTGAAAGTAGGGCCTCAAGCTCTCACTTGGCTTTTTCCCTCAAGGCTGATGCTCTACCACTTAAACCACAGCTCCATTTCTGGCTTATTGATGATGAATTGGAGATAAGAGTTTCATGGAGTCTTCTGCTGGGGCTGGATTCCAATTATGATTCTCAGATCCCAGACTCCAGAGTAACTAGGATTACAAGAGAGACCACTACTGCCTAGCAAAAATTCCCACTCATCAACATTAAGAACCAGCTGGGTGCCATGGCTCACGCCTGTAATCCTAGCTACTCTGGAGGCCAAAATCTGTGGATCATGGTTCAAAGCCAGCCCTGGCAGGAAAGTCCGTGAAACTCTTATCTCCAATAAACCATCAGAAACCAGTTCAAGCCCCACGACTGACCCCCCCCCCCCAAAAAAAAAAAAAATAGTGAATCTGCAGGGAATCAAAAAAAAAAAAAAAGATTGCTCTAATTTTGTCATAAATCGGAAACATCAAAATAAATAACACTGGGCTGGGAAGGTGGCTCAGTGGTAGAGTACTTGCCTTGCATGCATGAAGCCCTGGGTTCGATTCCTCAGCACCTCATAAACAGAAAAAGCTGGAAGTGGCACTGTGGCTCAAGTAGTAGAGCACTAGCCTTGAGCTAAAGAGCTGAGGGACAGCACCCAGGCCCAGAGTTCAAGCCCACGACCAACAAAAAATAATAATAATAATAATAATAAAATAAATAACACTTGAAGGGTAATGTTCTACTGCATTTTGAGCTGGTTTGATGATAACCTAATTCATGTGTTGGCAAACTTCTGCCAAGGGCCAGATTGTCAGTACTGTAGCCCAACATTATACTTCATAACTACCACCTCTGCCACTACATCACAGAAGTCCCTACCAACAACACAGAAATGAATAGGCATGGCTGTGCTCCAATAAATCTTTATTTACAAAACAGACCATGAACCAGATTTGACCCATGAGCTATCTTTAAATGACTACTTGGTATCTGTCCAGTCTATGCCAAAAATAAACAGAGATAAAAATTTTTGAATCCATACTATACACTGGGATAACTGCTTTAAAGCATTAACGCGTTTATCTTTGCACCATTTGGGGAAAGTGCATGTTAATACAATCCCTCTTTCCACAGAGTAAACTAGTCACTCTGAGAGGAGTTAAAAAAAACAAAATCTGCCAAGGTCACATAAAGGGTAATTATGAAACAAGGTGGGTCTGATCCTATACATCATACTATAACAGTATGTTAAACTTTTTCTAACGGGTTTACTATATCATCAGGTGCAACTAGGAAATTAAATAAATTCGAGATTTACACTCCTAGAGAATACTTATCACAAACCTCCTGCAGCTTCAAGGACATAAGTCCCAACTGGTCCTGACGTCTTTCCACCAGCTCTCTTTCTGTACGCATCTCTCTTTCTATTTCCTGAAGCCGTCGCTCCACCCGATCTGAAACCTTAATATAAACAAAGAGAGAGAGAAATGAAGAAAGCTGATGTGATTAAATTGAGGAGATACTGTGTGTGTCAGACACATCACTGCCTAAAGCACAGAATTCTGATTTTTTAATAGGACCTTTCCAATGACTCTAATTAGAAAACACTTGACCTAAAATTTCACTGGAAGTTACTAGCAAAAGCAATCATTAGTCTCCCTATAATCCCCACCTGGATCTCAATAACTGGACCAGAATTTTCAAAGGACAATATAATAATTCAATTAGTAGAGTTCAAAGTAATATACTAGAAAAGAGTGCCCTCTGGTGATTTAGAGTAAAATGCCAGTTGCGCCAACAACTGCATTTATTACCCAATTAATGATAAACTGCTTTTGGTTTGTTTTGGTTCTTATTCTCCATGTGGATAACCTGCCTAGGAAGGCAGTGATGTTTGTGTGTAACTTGTAATTAAAAGGTGTTTTCATAGTTTGTCAATCTTTTAAACTGTGATCTGCTACAAATACTGAACTGCAAAAGATCAAATACTAAAGGCAAACTGGAAAATGGTTAGTTTGGATTCTAGAATGGAGGAATTTTTAGTTCTGACACTAGATTTTCTTCACTAAAAACTGCCAAAATTCAAACCCATAACACACAGTCCTCTAAATAAAATTTACATCATATGACAATGTGTTTAGTGACTACAAACATTTTGTCCTTATTTAAAAGAAGTAATAAGCCAGGCAAGGGTGGCTCACATCTATAATCCTAGCTACTCAGGAGGCTGAGATCTGAGGATCAAAGTTCAAAGCCAGCCCAGGCAGGAAAGTCCATGAAACTCTTTATCTCCAATTAACCACCAGAAAACAGGAAGTGGCATTGTGACTCAAAGTGATAGAGCGCTAATCTTGAGCAAAGGAGCTCAGGGACAGCACACAGGCCCCAAGTTCAAGCCCCATAACTGACAAAAAAGAAGTAATAAATACAGTCCTACTATTAAAAACTGTGTTGCTATCAATTCTGTGTTTGACAAGAAACCAAGAAAGGTATGATTCTGAGGGACCTCACTGGGTTGTTGAAATGCTGTAAACTGGATTGTGTAAGGCTGCACACAGCAAATTTACTAAAAGTCATTCCGTTATGCAGATAAATTTGGCTGCAAATTATAGCACAATGGATTGGTACTTTCAAAAAGAGAGATAGGTATGTTTAATTAGACAATAAAGGCTAAGAGAAAACAAGCATGGTATACAAAAATTAGTAGTTATACTTACTAAATATAAGTCTTGGCAGTCCAATTTCACTACTTAAAAATAATTAAGATACTTACTATGATACTAACAGTGCTTTATTAAAACCTCTAAATACTCTTTAGCAACAAGCTCCTAATTTATCCATGCATCAACCTAATACCAAACTATACATGTTACTACTGCTTCCAATATAAATAAGCACTGTCTGTAATAGAAAACAATTCTGGATAACTAATTTTTTCAAAGTTGTCTATTTATTTTATTTTTTCCAAAATGAACACAATTTTATTGTTCACTCTGATTATAAAATTTATGTCAACTTCTCAAATAATAATATAGAACCATTTCCATCCATTAGGATGGTCATCTTGGAAAAACAGTGTTTGAAAGGATGAAGACAAATCAGAGCACTTCATCTCTATAGATAGATGCAAGGAAGCTGCTATAGACAATAATATGGCTAATCAGCCAAACAAAAATTATTAAGTATCATCTGACCCAGCAATTTGATTTGTAAATCTAAACCTCAATTATCTGAAACCAGAGTCTCAAAGGGAAAAATCACACACCCAAATTTTCAGCAACATTGCTCACAGTAAGAGTGTACATATCGGCGGGGGGGGGGGGGAAGGGGGAGGAAGGAGAAGGATTGGGATTGGGGGGGAGGGGGGAGGCTGGGAAGGGATGTGAAGGGTAAACCAAAGGAGGAGGCTGCAATGCTTGGTAAGAAATGTACGCATTATCCTGCCCATGTAATTGTAACCCCTCTGTACAGTATGTTCACAAATAAAATTAAATTAAATTAAAAAAAAAAAAGAGTGTACATATCAGATGACATGATCTTGTATTTAAAGAATCCCATGGACTCCACTCCCAAATTACTCAAGCTGATTCAAAACTTTGGCAAAGCAGCAGGGTATAAAATTAAACCTCAAAAATCAATGGCTTTTCTGTATGCCAACAATGAGAAAAGCGTGGCTGAAATTAGGAAAGCAACTCCATTCGTAGTTGCCCCACAAAAAATAAAATACCTAGGAATTAACTTAACCAAAGAAGTGAAGGACCTATATGATGAAAACTTTAAAAACCTGAAAAAGGAAATCAACACAGAACTTAAAAAATGGCAAAACCTCCCATGCTCCAGGATTGGAAGGACCAACATCGTGAAAATGGCAATACTTCCCAAGGCTATCTACAAATTCAATGCAATACCTATCAATATTTCAACCTTATTCTTCAAAGAAATAGAAGAGGCAATTCAAAAACTCAAATGGAACGATAAAAGACCCCAAATAGCAAAAATGATCCTTAACAAAAAGAACAGTGCTGGAGGAATATCAATACCAAATTTTAAAATCTACTACAAAGCCATAGTAATCAAAACTGCTTGGTACTGGCACAAGAACAGACCTCAGGACCAATGGAATAGAATTGAAAACCCAGAAATGAGCCCACAGAGCTATAGCCATCTAATCTTCGATAAGGGAACTAAAAAAATAGAATGGAAGAAAGACACCCTCTTCAGTAAATGGTGCTGGCAAAATTGGTTAATCACTTGTAGAAAACTAAAGCTAGATACTTATATATCACTCTGCACCAGAATCAACTCCAAATGGATCAAAGGCCTCAGAGTTAAAACACTCTGAAAACATTACAGGATGGAATAGGAGAAATCCTAGATCTCCTTGGCACAGGCCGAAATTTTCTTAATAGAGACCCAGAAACACAACAAATCAAAGAAAGGTTAGACAAATGGGATTACATGAAATTGCAGAGCTTCTGCATGGCAAAGGACATAGCTAACAAGATCAATAGAAAGCCCACAGATTGGGAGAAGATCTTCACTAGCCATACAATGGACAAGGGCCTCATATCTAAAATATACCTGGAACTCAAAATATTAAATCCCCCAACAACAAATCCTCAAAGAAACAACTGCCCAATAAATAAATGGGCTAAAGACTTAAAGAGAAGCCTATCTGAAGAGGAAAGAAGGATGGCCAATAGACACATGAAGAAATGCTCAACCTCTCTAGCCATAAAAGAAGTGCAGATCAAAACAACATTGAGATACCACCTCACCCCAGTTAGAATGGCTAAAATCAAGAACTCTAATTAAACAACAGATGCTGGAGGGGATGTGGACAGAAGGAAACCCTACTGCATTGTTGGTGGGAGTGTAAACTTGTTCAACCATTTTGGAAAGTAGTATGGAGGTTCCTCAAAAGACTCCACATTGAGCTCCCCTATGACCCAGCAATCCCACTTTTGGGCATTTACCCAAATGATCACAAACAAGACCATACTAAAGCTACCAGCACATCTATGTTTATTGCAGCATTATTTACCATAGCTAAGATATGGAACCAACCCAGATGTCCCTCAGTAGATGAATGGATCAAGAAAATGTGGTATATATACACAATGGAATTCTATGCCTCCATCAGAAAGAATGACATTGCCCCATTTGTTAGGAAATGGAAAGACTTGGAAAAAAATTATATTCAGTGAAGTAAGGCAGGCCCAAAGAAACATAGGTCCCATGGTTTCCCTTATTTGCAATAACTAGTATATGTCTGAGACAAGCAGAAAAGGTCAGAAAAGTTGATGTTAGGTGAAATGAACCCCAAGGTAAGTATTCAAATGTTTTTTCTTTCTTGCGATTGTTTCTAACATATTTATAAGATGATTTCTTTGTTGCTTTGTATGTCCCTCCCCAATGATATAACCCTTGCTTTCACTGTATTTGATGTTGGTATAATTTGTGGAGGGTAAGGGAAAAAACAAATCCCTTAAATAGGGATACAGGTGGCCGGCCCCATTGCAACAATGAGATGTACAAGTTCTTATGTCGAAAAACTAACTTTACAACTTTGGCAGTGGGGGCGGGGGAGATGAGATGGGAAGGGATGGGAAGGGGAAACGAAGGAGGAGGCAACAATGCTTGGTAAGAAATGTACTCATTATCTTGCCTATGTAATTGTAACTCCTCTGTACGGTATTTTCATAATAAAAAAAAAAAAGAGTGTGTATATCTAAGAGCCAAAAGATGGAAGCACCAAGTAAGTAAAAAAATTTTTTTAATGTGGTATATTCACAAAATGGAATATTAGGCAACCTAAAAAAGGGGAGAGATCCTGACATGTGCCAAAACATGAATGAACCTTGAGGGCATTATGCTAAGAGAAGTTTTAAAAAAAAAAGAAAGAAAGAAAAGAAACTATCTCTAATGTATTTATAAGGTACCATGTGATTTTTCTATTGTTTTGTATGTCCCTCCCCCACAGTGTAACCCCTGTTTTCACTGTATTTGATGTTGGTATAATTTGGGGAGCGGAAGAGAAAAAACAAATTGTTTAAATAGGGATACAGTTGGACCCATTGCAACAATAAAATGTACAAGATGTTATGTGAAAAACAAACTTTATAATTTAGTGGGGGGGGGGAATATAGTTGTAGAGGTGGGAGGGTAGGGATGGAAGGGGAAAAACAAAGGAGGAGGCAACAATGCTTGATAAGGAATGTACTCATTACCTTGCTCATGTGACTGTAACCCTTCTGTACAGTATTTCACAATAAAAAAAAAAAAAACATTTAAAAAAAAAGAAAGAAACTATCATTCCACCATATGAAATACTTAAAAGTAGTCAAATTCTTGATGACAGAGAGTAGAACAATATAGTATCTCCTGAATTAAAAAAAGAATATTTTGTAATGTATTAGAAGTATGGTATAATAAAAGAATCCAAGTCACCTACAAAAGATGACCTAGTGTAACTAAAATACATACACACACCTAGTGTGTATACATAAATTGTAATACTCCTGTAATCTACGTGGCACTTGTGTTATTTTAAATGCAGTATTGACAGAATTTGTAGAATCTTACTAATGAGGTACTCCTCCAGAAACAGCTGGATATGTTTTTATTTTTATATTTAATAGGGATCCTCCTATAGCAAACTAAACTCTATAAATAATTGAACTGAATATATCACCTTCAACTGGTTAAAATCTAGACAACTAATGAATTTCAATTTCCCCTGATTTGAGGCCTATTCTATAGTGGTTATTTTACCAGCACAACTAAGAACTAACAGAAAATATTTACCATAACATCACAAGTATAATTTCTCCCCTCCAAAGCAAAGTCTAAAACAAACCTGAAAATTTACAATTCACAAAGGGTTAACAAATCAAATCGTAGCATACATGAAATCAACCTTTTTGTCTCTCAAGAAACATATATTCCACAAGCTTTCAAGTTACTATGAAAATGCACTAATAAACAATTACAACTTTGGGATAATATATAATAAATGTGATCCACACAGGAGAGCAACAGAGGGTAGGAAATGGAAGTAGTGGTTTATTTTCACTTCATATATTTTACAATATTTAGAAGTTTTCCAGAGCAAACCTGTATTACCTTGATGATTCTGTTCAACTTAAATCCAGAAGGGAGAAACAGCTGTCGCCTCTGAGAAGTTATCACTCACATAACAGAATTTCTCTGACAGCATGTGATCATGAATTCACATACACAGAGCAATATGTCTAACAGTTATAAAATGCAAATGTTGATTTCAGTTAGAAGATGTCACAAAAATCTATATTATGTCCTATGTGAAACACTGTATGGACATCAGACAACCATCTAAAATTCAGCAATATTTTCTCAAGTTTTATAATAGCTAATTATTTTCAGTTAGAACTGTAAACATCCTTACACAAGTCTTACTTAATGGGCTGAGGGATGAAGCTCCATAGGAAGGCAGTTGCCCCACATGTAAAAGGCACTGGAGGTGATCCCTAGCACCACAAAGATTATTTTTTTATTATTATTAAAACCTTAACTTATAAGACAACATTAATTTGACAATAAATTCTAAAAAGCATAAAACAAACTGCATCATGCCTTGCTATGAAAAACTTGTAGATGTACAAGTCAGCTAACTATGTAATTAGATGGGCCCAACTCTCTGGATTTATATGATTAAAAATGGCTACTTCCTGGTGATTTGGGCACAGTGAGGTTCCACAGTGAGTTGAGCACAGTGAGTGTGACATCAGGTTTTGCAATCACAGCTTTACCTGATGTGGAGCAATTCATAATGCACAACAGTGATGACAGAGAGGATATACACGGGCTCAGACCTTCACTGAATTCAGCTGACTGACTCTACATACTGTCTACATTGCGAATATACAGTAAAGCTCCCCAATACATATGAAATAAGTCACATATATCCAAATTCAAAAAAATAGCCTGACAAATTCAAACAATAGCATTACAGTACAACTGGATATGACTGTAGCTCACTCAGTTCCGTGAGGACCTCAGCAGAATACTGAAGATAAACATACTTCTATAAACATACAAATTACATATTGACACAGCCAGGAAAAGAAGACTCATGCGGTAGCTAAAACAATGTTTGTATAATCGTATGCATTAAACATATAGAACAACTGCAGTTACTTGGAAGGCTGAGATTGGTAGATCATAGTTTTGAGAACTGCCTATGCAAAAAGTTCATAAGGCCCATCTCAACCAACAGAAAAGGCTTGGGTGCAATGGACCCATCCTTCAGCTACATGAAAGTATCAAAAGGAAGGTGGCAGTTTAGATTAGGCTGCGCAAGAAGCAAGATCCTACTCAAAAAGTGATGAGGGCAAACAGAACCTCTGAGTTCAAGTATCAGTACCACCAAAACAACAACAATTTTTGTTTAAATTAGCAAATAAAGTAATGGAATCTGTAATGTATAAAAGAGGGAAGTAATGCCGTGGCTCCAGTGGTGGAGCGCTAGCCTTGAGCATGAAGAGGCTCAGGGACAGCGCCCAGACCCTGAGTTCAAGTTCCACAACCGACAAAAAAAAAAAAGAGTCAGAGGACTTCACTTCTAAAATAATGATACAGGAAGTGGCGCTGTGGCTTAAGCGGTAGAGTGCTCAACTTGAGCAGAAAAGCACAGGGACAGCACCCAAGCCCAGAGTTCAAGCCCCACAACTGACCAAAAAAAAAAAAAAGTAATAATAATGATATAAATAATTATAGACTAGAGCCAAAAGCTTGGGTGGCTGAGTGGTAGAGAGCTTGTCTTGCATGCGTGAGGCCCTGGGTTCCATTCCTCAGCACCACATAAGCAGAAAAAAAAGCCAGAAGTGGTGCTGTGGTGGTAGAGCGCTAACCTTGAGCTGAAGAGCTGAGGGACAGTACCCAGGCCCAGAATTCTGGCCCCATGACTGGCAATAAATAAATAAATAAATAAATAAATGATAGACTAGAGCCAAAAGCTTGTGGCTCATGTATGCAATCCTAGCTACTCAGAGACTGAGGATCACAGTTTAAAGGCAGCCTGGGCAGGTAAATAACATGAGATTTTATCTTCACTTCACCATGAAAAAGCTAGAAGTGGAGGTGTGACTCAAGTGCTAGAGAACTAACCTTGAGCAAAAAAGCTAAGGGACAGCACCCAGGCCCCAGTACTGGCACAAAGAAAGAGAGAGAGACAGAGAATAGAATACATCCCTCTCTTGGCACACGTAGCCAATTAATCACATTCCAAAGTGAACTCAATCTAAGAGGAACTATAACCAAATTATCAAATAGAAAAAAATTATCTACTTTTACCAAAAAACTCAAGTTGAATAAAGAAAGTATTGTAAGAGAAAAAATTCTACTAACTTTCCTTTTCTTGAAATAATAAAAGATGTTGTGGGAAATGAATACCCATTGCTCCTGAAGTTACAAATTTGTACATAGTTTAGTTAAAATTTCTTTTTTTTTTTGTCAGTCCTGGGGCTTGAACTAAGGGCTTGGGTGCTGTCCCTGAGCCTCTTTGTGCTCAAGACTAGCACTCTACCACTTGAGCTACAACACCACTTCCAGATTTTTCTGCATAGTTTATAGGAGATAAGAGTCTCACAGAGACTTTTCTGCCGGGGCTGGCTTTGAATGGCAATCCTCAGATCTCCTGAGTAGTAGAATTACAGGCATGAGCCACCCACACAGCTAATGACAATTTCTATTGATGTTTTTCTTCTCCAGAAATTATAATACCTGATGATGGGAAACAATGAACACTATATACACTTTATAGTCTAACATGATTTTATTTAAAATAGATAAATAAATAATGAATGTTGAGAATCTGTGTTTGAGATATAAAACTTAAGAATTAGGAATTTTTCAACTAGCACCATATCCAACAAACAACCCAGCAAGAGGTCTCTGCAGCACAGAGATCACACACTTATGTGAGGTGATCAGAAAATACAGAACAGGGAATGATACAGAACCAGTACAGAAAACACAGTGCAGTCAGCTGTAGTGGCCACATCTCTACTCCCAGCATTTTGGAGGCTGAAGCAGGAGAATCATGCTTTAGAAGCCAGCCTGGGCTACATAAGGAGATGCTGTCTCAAAACATAACAAAATTTGAAAGAAATAAAAAAGTCAAATCTCTAATATACTATTGTTGTGACATTTCAAACTCAGATTTCTAAAATTTATGAACATTTTATATAAGGTACAAGAAAAGATTCTTTGGGGGGGTTGGGAAGGTGGCTCAATGGTAGAGTGCTTGCCTTGCATGCCTGAGGCCCTGGGTTCGATTCCTCAGCACCACATAAGAAAAAAGACAAAAGCCGGAAGTGGCACTGTGGCTCAAGTGGTAGAGTGCTAGCCTTGAGCTGAAGAGCTGAAGGACAGCGCCCAGGCCCAGAGTTCAGGCCCCACAACCGGACCCAAAAAAAAAAAAAGAAAAAAGAAAAGATTCTTTGGCAAAATGGTACACACCACTCAAAAGATTAAACTCTGAGTAAGTTCACTGTGATTAGGACTAGTACGGACACCTTGTTCCCCCCATCTACATGTGAAATAAAACTGTATACTCTGTAAGTCCTTACCACATCTTGTTTCTGGGATTCACTAAGTTTTTCAGTCAATTCTTCCAAAGCCCTTTTTGTTTCAGCATCCGATCTAGGCCAAGAAAGAAACAGATTTTTAAGTTGAATATTTAAGAAAATATACAAACAGTGAACTTCATAATATTTTATAACATTAACAATTACATGTAATACATAGTAATCATATTTATAACAACTTATATTAATAGCTGTTATGTGATAGTCTGCTGCATTGGTTCTCAAACATCTGAAGACTTTGTTACAACACAGACTGCTAGAGCTCACCCCCAATGTATCTCAATCAGTAAATCTGGAATCATCACTTCCATAAACTCCTAAGTGATGCTGACGCTGTGGACTTGTGTTTACACATTTATGTGAGGAGATCTGAAAATTCCTCATAAGGACTGCTACAGAACCACTACAAAAAACATGCTGCAGCCAGGCCTGGTGACCATATAATCCCAGAACTTGGGAGGCTCAGAAAGGAGAATCAGAGTTGGAGGCCAGCCTGAGCTACAAAAGCTAGACCTTGACTCAAAATAATAAATAAAAATAAATAAATAAAAGGTAATAATAATCCATTTATAATATACTACTACTATTTCTTTATATTTATATTCGAAAGGCACCACTACACTAAATTAGGACCTTTAACAAATGAACATGCTACATTAACACCAAATTTACAAACGGAAAAGAGTGGGGAAAAAAAAAGAGAGAGAGGCCAAAGCTCTTGTTGCACACCATGTCTATCGTCATAATCACATTACATCTGAGTGTGCCATCCAAACTCTATCCTCATTTCCCCATCAAATTAATTACATAGTAAACAATCAAACAGTACAAAAAGACTTATGAGCTCAGCAAAAAGCCTTTCCCTCACCTACTTCCATACCTCTAGGTCTACTTCCTAATGGCAACTTCCTACCTTCATTTCCAACTCTTATATTTTCAACTGCCTTCTCATTTTGAAGTATTTAGCTCACTAACTACTCTCCAATACTGAATGAATGACTGTTTTAGGTTGTATTGATCACCTTGCAATTTTACATAATATATGCCATATGAAAATTCTATAACAAAGTGATGCTTTGGGGCTTGCATTCTATCCTGTTCACAATTTCAGTTAGATAATTTGTCATTATCTTTTGGGCTTATTTATTTGTCCATTGATATTTTCTGTCTACTCTTGATTGAACTGCCCATTCTCCTTGACTATGTGCTACTCAAGGACACTTACTTTCCTATTATAATTTAGAGTGCACACAGTTTGTGGGTCAAAACTATATGACTTCTGGAAGAAAAGTTGGGAGAAACTGTCAATGTGATTAGGTTAGAAATGTTGGCCAATATATACTTTTTGAAGTTAATATTCTATCCTGCATGGAGGGAAATAGAAAATGACATTTCTTTCTTAATGATTGCAGTTAAAAACAATATTCGACAACAAATGTACTCACTACCTTATGTATGTAAATGTAACCCCTCTGTACATCACCTTGACAATAAAATTAAATTTAAAAAAACTATATGGCTGTCTTTCTGGGGTTACTTCTACTTAATTCCTGGGCTACTTTTACTACTTCTTATAATCTGTATTTTAGTTACAATCTTATTTTATTTATATGTCTTTAGATAATTTTCTCAGAGATGAGTTAAGTCAAGAAAGTGTGACTCTCTAGAGTTGTGTTTATTTTTCTTTCCTCATTTTTATGCTTTCATGCTCTCCTGCCTTTCCCACATAATCACCAGTTGATTTTTCTCAAGCCAGATCCTCATGTAAAAAAAAAAAAAAAATCTCCTAAATATTGGGACTCCTTGGCATTCTGTTCTATCCTTGATGCTCCCGCTATACTTTTTCTTCTCTTTATATTACAAGAATTAATTTATTCCCTAATAATTCATAAAACCTTTATAAGACCATATTCTACTCTTACCGGCTTCTCCTGGAAAGCTCCCTGTTGAAATCCTCTCCAAGGCGAACTTGTTCACTGCTGAGGTCTCGGAGGGACTGGTGAAAGCTATGAAGCTAGCAAAGGCAAAACACAACATTTAGGATTCCATTGAAATCTTCCAAAAGTCACTGAAAGTAAAAATCTTGATCTTCACAAAAATTCAAGATTTTGTTAATAATGAATAAGATAAATTACCTACATTCAAACAGTAGAGCACCAGCCTTGAGTGAAAAAGCTAAGGAATAACGGCCAGCCTTGAGTTCAAGTCCCAGTACTGGCATAAAATAAAGTAAGATGACAAAAAAATAAAGAGTAGAAGTAATGCAGTGGATGGATAACAGGTGCCCACTGAGCTTTGCTGTCACGATTTCATGATCTTCCAAATTTGCAACCAGAATCATCTTGACACATCCTTTTACTCATTCCTACCTTCCTCTCATGTCTATCTGATCTTCATGACCTATCAATTTTATTCATTAAGTAGCTTTTAAATCTATATTCTTCTCTCCAATTCATTTATCCTAACCCAAGTGACCATCAACTCACACCTGCCAAACAATACCTTCCTAACTAGTTTGTCCACATTGACTCCATTTTCTACACTAGATGAATAATGATCTTTTCATAACAAGTCTATTGGCTCCTTATGAGACACTGCATTATCCCAGCCCTTCTATCCTTCTTTAGCCATATGGCCTTCTCTAAATTGCTCATAGGAGCAATTTGTTCTATGTAGAAGGACTCGATCTAATTCCTCATCCAGTAATAAACCTGATGAAAAAGGAGAGCCTCTTTCATCACTGCCTCCAAATGTAAATACTGTCCCAATGACAGAGGCACTGAATAAAGAGAATAAAAAGTAAATATTGTTGTTGTTGTTCTTTGCTCTACGTTTATTCATATAATCCATGCTAGCAATCTGCATCTATTAAAATATGAGTCAAGGAAAAGTTTCTACAAGGTTCTATTACATTTTTTGTTTTATTTTTATGTTATGATGTAGTTTCCTAAAACTAACTTTGAGAACCCAATCCTAAAATTTAAAAAAAAATGAAGGTTTCAAAGTCAGAAATTTCCCCTAATGCTTGTCTAATTAATTTAGCTCCCTAACACACGGAAGAAAAGAAACTTGGCTCTGAAAAGAGCTTGCAAGAAATGGGGGAAAATATAGCATAGAAATAATGATATCAGAAATCTTCAGTAAACACTGAAGGATGAAATTTCTTACATCGCTCCAATAGTGATTCAATAATGAGAGAAATACTTAAGTAGTAGAAAAATCAATAGGTCAGCCACACAATGACAAACTTATTCGCACTTATTCAAACTTAGCAAAATAGAAAGTAGCTGACTTACAGGGCTTTTTAAAAAACTGAGCAGCCTACACAAGGAAAGAAACAAATATGCCCAACCAAATTAGATGTATAATTTCTGTAATATAATCTCTGTAACAAATTCAAAATAAATGTATGAAGCCAAGCACCAGTGTTTCACATCTGTAAGCTAGCTACTCAAAAAACTGAGAGCTGAAGGATGATGGGTTCAAAGCCAGCCCAGATAGAAAAGACTCTCTCTTCAAAATAACCAGCAAAAACCATGGCTGAAGGCACAGTTCAAGTGGTAGAGCACCAGTCAAACAAGTAAGCAAAGGAAGTATAAGGCCCTAAGCTCAAAAACAAGAAGCACAGAACAAAAATAAATGAATAAATAAACAGCTGGGAGCCAGTGGCTCACACCTGTGATCCTAGCTACTCAAGAGGCTACGATCTTAGGATCCTAGCCTAAAGCCAGCTTAGGCAAAGAAATTTTAGAAACTCTTATCTCCAATTCACCAGCAAAAAGCCAGAAGTAGCAAATGAAACAAGAATAAAAAAGATCAGTACAAAGCTATGCAAAGTTCATAATGATCAAATAACCAAATGATTAGTTAAATATAATCAGATAGCTCAAGTATTATTCATTCATATGGAAATGTAAGAAAATACCACATGCAAATTACACAATACCTGGGTCATGTCATCAGTTTGGCGAACAAACCGGACACCAGTTCTGGACTTACTTCGTTTGGTCCCCAGTGGATCATATTCCTTAAGAGGTGAGGTAGGTGGAAAATTGTGGCTCTCTGCATTTGAAAGAAAAGGAAGGGGATTGAAACAATACACAAGAAGGAATAATCTAAAAACATACTTCATACATGCATAACAGTAGTGAGTACCACACAAGCCTTTAACCTAGGCTATTTCCAAAGTAACTTGTTATACTGATAAAGTTCCACAAGATTAGCTCTAATTTAGTCCTTAGAGCAGACAAAATGAACAACAGAACTAGGAAAAGAACATGTCAAAGCTCTTTTTTATACTTCCAAAGAAGTAGTGTATTTTCTTTTACATAAACAAAAATTGCTCAACTTTAAAAAAAAATTATGACTTCATAAAATATAGTTTTATACCAATGAAATAGAATTTGGCAAATAACAAAATAATCCAAAATCTGAACACTGTGAAAATCAGTAAGAATCAATTAACTAGAGAACAAATAAATGGTTGTGTCCAATTTTTAATTCAAACATGAATCTTAGTATAAGTAAGATTAATTATAGGAAAGCTAAGTGTTTCCTTTTATGCTAGCCACTGACATCTAGCTTACAAGACTAAAATCCTCTTGTTCTCAACAAATGTCGTAAGATAGTTCATAATCAGATACTTGAAAAACTATTATGGTAGGACAAAATTACTAATCCAGAGATTAGTAATTATACCATACAGTAATTATTATTTGTATATTTGGGTTTTTTTCTTAGTATCTTTAAGTAGTTATGGAAAGCATTTCAATTCAATATGCCCATTTATGAGTACAATGTATCATGTATGTTAGATTGTTTGGGAACAGACAAAGATAATTCAGGCTTTGTTAGGTAAAATTAAAAGTACCATAAAGGTCTGAAAAAACAATTGTAGAATTATAAAGATTCGTTAGTAAGTTTCAAAATACACACTAACCATCCTTGAAAACTTCATGTTCTAACCCCTACTATGGATGACATGATGCATGTATTGCCATTTCTGTAAAGGTTAAATGTCTACAATATGAGTATTTTAAAACAAGAAAGGGTTTTCAGAAGATTTGAATGGTTTACCTGTCACAGTGCCACCATCGAGGTCACTTGTACTCACACTTGTAACAGAAATACTTCTCCCCCCTGAGTTTCTCTGTAAGCGTTGACTCCGCAGTTGGTTTATTGATTTCTCCAAGGATTCTCTTAACTAAAGAATATAGTGAAGCCGAGGTTATCCTTTTTTTAACAACTTCCAAACACAAGTGGACTATAGATTTTTAAAAATTATTTCTGAAATATCTAGCTTCCATTAGAAAGTTAATATCACAGGAGGTTTTGAACTAAGATAGAAAACATAAAACTATTAAAATACATTAACAAACAAGGTTAGCCTTGTTTTAAACGGCACCTCTCACCATCTATCCCATCCTTCCACTTCCAGAAGGTAGAAAATGTCTAGCTGATGAACCCATCCATTTGGAGAAACACAACAAGGTTGACACATTAAAAGAAGATTCAAAAAATACTACAAAACAAGAGAAATGAAGTATTACTCGAAATTCTAAAATTGTGTTGGAAAAGTAATTATTTGAGAAACAAGATTTTTTAAAATTTAGAAAAATCTGTGGCTTACTTTGGAAGCTCTAAAATTATAATCCATTGAGTCTAATGTATAAAACCAAAAACTGAAATATAAATGATAGATGAAAGACAAACTTTAAATTGTTCCTACAAGACTCATGGAAAAAAAAATAGATCCCTCAAAATCTCAAAGAATTAAACTTTATATCAGAATTAGTAACAACACAAAAGATACTGTGCATTGAATAATTATAAAGACAGAAAAAAACTCTTGCTAAATCCTTAAATACAAGGTTGAGTCAGCCCCCTCAACCACAAATAGAACATTAAAAATATTAACTGCAATGGATTAAAATCTTCAAAAATGCATATAAATTAAATAATATTCAAAGAGGGCAAAGTCCCATGAGAGGATGCTAAGGAATTAACTTACTATTTTGGAGACTAGTAAATAAATAAAAGGTTTTTTGGAAACTATAGAAATGTCACTTTTCATTTTAAAAAGAAATACATTTTTAATACTCTCAGAGCCTTGTAGTATCTCTTAGAAAAAAATATTAATTGGAAACAAAATGCAGGTGAACATTAGTGTGTTAGGGGAAAAAAGGGCATAAAACTGAAAGAACTGACCTCATCATAAACTGATTCTGAAAGGAAATGATGTAGGCAAGAATGACTATGCCAGATAGGAGAGGTGAGCAAGAGTAAGCATGACCAAAAGGAACGCTCTCCTCAGCTACACTACTGTTCTCTTCTGCTTCGGTCCATGTCTTTCCATCAAATAATTCTACCTTTACCTTATGTTTCATTTTGACAATGAAATAAGCAATGTGTGTAAAAATAATTAGAACAATGCCAAAGGCAGATCAGGTTATGCAATGAATGGTAGTTTTATCATGATTAAAGGCAATGAATATAAAAGCAAAAGGATAAATGGAATGAGGAAATCAGATGCCTCAAACTGGAAAAGCTATATATAAGCATCTGCTACTTCAAAACTAATGCCTTCACTAAATTCCTCTGGTGCATTATCTACAGATAACTGAGTAGGGCAGTGCCAGTATTCCCTAGCACCTACTTCATGTGGGGACATGTCCTCCTACCATTCCTCTACAGTATAGTTCAAATCCCATTTCCAGCTGTAGCACTGTTCACTTCTTGGTGCACTTTCATCTTTGTTGGCCAAAATTCTGTTTTGATTATTTCTTTTTATAAAATAACATTTGAGTGGGTTTATCACTGGGAGATAAAGAGGGAAACTGTATGCTTTGTTGTTACAAAGAAGTCATTTGTAATTTGTGGACTGAAGAGGGATTGCCAATATTTATGTGTGGTTACATTTAGTTAATATACTTTGGCAGGTGAAATTTGAATTTCAGAGGGGTGCCAACATAGTGACAGGACAGTAGGGAAACACTACAACTCTCTCCAACCAAATAAGAGTTTAAGTTCCAACGCTTAATTTCCCCAAGAGACCAACAACAGCAAAAAGCCAAACACCCAGAGGAAAACAAGAGGTGAAGAAAGAAAGAAAGAAAGAAAGAAAGAAAGAAAGAAAGAAAGAAAGAAAGAAAGAAAGAAAGAAAGAAAGAAAGAGAGAGAGAGAGAGAGAGAGAGAGAGAGGAGAGAGAGAAGGAGAGAGAAAGAAAGAAAGAAACAAAGAAAGAAAGAAAGAAAGAAAGGAAGGAAGGAAGGAAGGAAGGAAGGAAGGAAGGAAGGAAGGAAGGAAGGAAGGAAGGAAGGAAGGAAGGAAGGAAGGAAGGAAGGAAGGAAGGAAGAAAGGAAGGAATTTCAGAATGGAAAAGCGCAAAGACCCTTGCCCCACCCTTGCGGCTGCGCAGCTCCACATCGAACCGAGACTGGTCCGGCCCGGCCCAGGGCTGCTGGAGACCCCAGAGTCACAGGGGGTTGTCTGCAGAATGCCAGCACAGAAGATGCCCAAGGTGCGGTGCCGGACCCAGTGATCCCAAACAGAGAAACCTCGGAGCTCGGAACCTGCACAAAGACCCTTCACCCACCCCTCACCAGAGCGGCCCCTCCTCATCCCACTAAGACCACTTGGCCTCACCGCCCAGGGGAACCCCAGAACTACAGGGGTCCAGATGCAGAACACAAGAGCAAAAGACTCCCAAGGTGCTGGTGCTGATCTGGAGAGCACAGAGACAGAAACCTCAGAACTCAGAACCTGCATGAAGACCTCTTCCCCACCCCTCCACCCGCAGGCAGCACAAAAAACACCCACGGCACTGACCCAGACAGCATCAACAGAGGCAGAGACAGGGAGAAACACAGACCCAGAGCGGCCACCACCCAGCCCAGCCCACAAGCATCTCAACCAAACACAGTGCAGTGGCAAACAGTGACCTACGTTGCACAAAAGCAGCAGTCTGCCATAGCACCGCTAGATAGTTCCCAATTCGCTCCAGGGTAAGTACCCCACAGGGGACTGTGTACCCTGCCAAGGGAGACCAGTACTGGCAGTAACCCGCAGAGCTTGATCCCCACCCCCCACCACCTGGACTACAGGTCCCACTAAAACTGAGAACTGTGCAAGCACCCCACCAGCCCATGGAGCACATCCAGCCCACCAGGCTTGATCAACAGCAGGCCTGGGAAGGAGCTTAAACGCCCAAGCTGGGAACAGCACCTGCGGGCCACAGCAGCCAGCAGCGGTAGAAATCCGAACTGCTTATCACAGGCTGCTTACCCCAGATGAATACCCAGAAGCACAGGTCTACCCTGCATGCCCCAGGTGGGGGACCAGGAGCCAGGGCCAGGCCTAGAGATCAAGTGCCTGAGCTACACAACCCACCCATATCGACTGAACTCAGAAGCTGAGCGCATATCTCAGCAGAGAAGGAAAGGAGAGAACTGCAAGCCCTGAGAATCACGCCCAAGATGGGAAAAGACCTGTGTGTCCAGGGCAAGAGAACCAGAAGCCCAAATCCTACCAGAGCCTGACCTGTATATCCCAGACTGGGGATTAGACAGCTCATGCGAAAATCACAGAGAAAAATTACAAGATTTATCAATACCCAGGATAGCAAGCTACCCCTAAAAGCCAGCAGCCACCCAGGAGAGAGCCCCAGTGGAAACAAAACAGGAATGGAAGACAAACGCTACATCCAAGAGATGCTGGAGGCAATGATTCAAGAATTAAAGTGAGAAATAGATCATAAATTTAAAGAATACAGAAACTAAATATCAAAACAGATGCAGGGATGCATGCACATCTCGTTAAGAGATGAGATTGATACTCTGAGAACTAACATAGAAGCCATAAATGGCTCAATTTCCTCCATGCAAACCACAATGGAAGCCATAGTTAACAGAGTAAATGAAAAGGAAATTAAAATAACAGATACAGAAGACAAAATGCAGCAACTGGAAAAAAAAGTCATAGATATGGAAAAATCACTTACATTATGCCAAAGGGAAATCCAAGAACGAGCAGACAGTGGCAAGAAATTTAACCTTTGTATACTTGGAGTGGACAAAGGTGAGGAATACCAGAACAGGGGAATGAAGCACTTATTTAGTAAGATTATGAACGAAAATTTCCCCATCTTAAAAAAGAACATCTTACCGACATAACAGAAGCATATAGAACACCTAACAATAAGGATCCCAGGAGAAATACTTCGAGGCACATTATTATAAAAATGATAGATCTGAATAATAAAGAAACAATCTTGCATGCAGCAAAAACAAAGAAGGAGCTATAATATAATGGGAAAAAAATCAGAATCACTGCAGATCTCTCTACACAGACACTGAATGCAAGGAAAGCCTGTGAAAGTACGATCCAAGCCCTGCGAACCAGTAACTGCCAGTCCAGACTTATATACCGAGCAAGGCTAGCATTCACATTTGATGGAGAAACTAACATTTTTAACAGTAAAGAAAAACTAAATGAATTCATAAACAATGAGCCAGTATTACAAAGAATATTAAGAGGGGGCCCAACCTGAAGAAAACAATCAAGAACAGGGATCTACATCAGACAGATATCACTAAAAATCCAACTTAGTAAGCATAGGAGAAAAGGAAAGAAAAACTTAGGAATTCAGGAAATTGACAGAAAACGGAATGCATCTCTCTATAATAACCATAAATATTAACAGGCTCAATTCACCAATCAAAAGAAAAAGAACTGCAGATTGGATCAGAAAACAAGACCCATCCATCTGTGCCTTCAAGAGACCCACCTCACAGCCAAACATAAAAACAAACCCCAAGTGAAGGGATGGAGAAGGACCTACCATGCAAATGCTCCCAGAAGGAGAGTAGGAGTTGCCATCCTGATATCTGACAAAATAAACTTTTCATTAAAACAATACAAAAAGACAAAGAAGGATACTTCATATTAATACAGGGAACAATCCAAGAAGAGGATATTACCCTTATCAACTTATACTCACCAAACATTGGTGCACCCAAATATGTTAAGCAAATACTCTCAAACTTACAGAATAAAATAGATCCAAATTCAATAATACTAGGAGACTTTAATATCCCACTCACCAAAGGACAGGTCTACCAACCAGAGAATTGGCAAAAAAGCCACCAAATTAAGTGAGGCCATATTTCAAGCGGAACTAATTGACATCTACCAAGTTTTCCACT